AAGAGTTGCCCCTGGAAAGTTCCCACAAAGTCCAAGTGCAACCTTGACCAGGGGTGGTGGGAGGATTCCCAGGCTCGTTCTGGGGCCCGGGGTGGTTCCGGTCGGGGAGCTTGGCAAAGCAGGCACCACTTTACTACGCCCTCTACGTCCCGGTCCAGCCCCGGCCACCAGACATAACTTCTGGCCAGGGCTTTCCTGCGCACCACCCTGGGGTGTGACTCGTGAAGGGTGGTGAGGACCCGTTCCCGTAGTGGCGTAGGGATGACCACCCAGCTTCCCCACATCATGCAGCCTTTGTGGACTGACAGTTCGTCCATCCAGGATTCGAATGCCGTGAATTCCGGCTCCCCTTTGGCCAAGGGCACCCCCTCACCACCCAGTCCAGAACGCAGCAGAGTACCTTGTCCTTGGCCGTGCAGCGAGCCACCTCTTTGACGTGGACCGGCTGGTCCAGAAGGGACTCCAGGAAAGCGATCATATGAGCCAGAGCCGGGTCACATGTAGGCAGCGGAAGGCGGCTCAGAGCATCCGCATGGCCCATCGCTTTCCCAGGGCGATGTGTGAGGGTGTAGGAGTACCCCACCAGGAAAATTGACCATCGGAGCACCTGGGGGGAGATCATGTGAGGGGTCTGGCGGTCAGGGGCCAGGAGGCCGAGCAGCGGCTTGTGGTCCATAAGAACCGTGAAGGGCCTGCCATACAAATAATGGTGAAACTTTTTCCCCCCAGCCACAATCTCCAGCACTTCTTTATCAATCTGCACGAAGTTGCGCTCCGCCACAGACAGTGTCAGAGAATAATATGCAACTTATTAAAGTCCTGCAAGGTGAAACCCCGTGGCTTTTGCAGGGGCGGTCCCCCGTGGGGACACAGCTTGAGGAACATTTCCGCAGAGATAATGGAAAAGGACGATCCCGTTTCAATTTCCATGCTGCAGGGGGACCCCTCTAAGAACAGTCACGTGCACTTTGTTGGGGCTATCGGGGGGCAAGTTACATTCCAGGTGTTGCTGGTGGTGGGTCAAGAGGGTGTGGAGGTCGGTGGGCAGGTCCGTCATGGTCTGGTGGGCCGACATCTTCTGGTGCTGTCCCTTGGAGCAGCAGACCCGGGAGATGTGCCCCAATTTGTTGCACGTCCGGCAGACGGCATTCCGGAAATGGTACGATCGGTGCTTGTGTTCTTCCCTGCAGCTGGCACAAGTAGAAGAGGTAGCTGACGGTGCTTTGCCCGAGGTGGAACCTGATGAGCGATGATGGCGCTGGGATGACCGGTGGCGGACCTGTAGAACTTCGTCCGAGATGTCGGAACGAATGGTCGCTTGTGTGCAGTGGACCGCCTTGGTGCGGCGGTTGTGGTGGGCCTTCTCGTAAGCGGTGGCCTCCTGGATCGCTTTGTTGAAATCCAGGTCATCTTGGCTGACTAGCTTCCTCCGGAGCTTGTGCTCCTGTAGTCCTAAGAAGAACTGATTGAGTAGCGCGTCAGCCAGATCCGGGAACGAACACCTTGTGGCGGCCCGTCGCAGAGCCATTAGAAAATTGGAGGCGGACTCATCGGGGCCCCGGACTTTTGCAAAAAAGTCCATCCGCTCCACAAATTTCATTGGTTTGAGAGCCAGGGGGTCTGAAAGCGCCTTGACCAAAGTGGTGTATAATTCATCTTTGGCCAGCCGGGGTGCTATCAGGTCCTTCAGTAGATGGGCCTCCATACCACAGTGCTGGAGGAGGTACGCCTTCTTCTTACCTGGATCAGTGACATCGTGGATGGTGAAGTGGCTCTCGATGGTCTCCAGCCAGGTTTCCCATTGCGATGGTTGGGAGATATCGAAAGCAGGGAGGCTCTTGGATGCGGCAGCCATCTTACAATTCCACGTGGGGAAGATGCTTGAGAACAGTGGCAGCGATCGGTGGCGAGGAGCGGTGTGGCGCTGCTTTCGGGGTCAGCGGTGTAAAGCTTGGTGCTGGGAGTGGCGACCAGAGATGCGGCATGAGACGAAGCAGCGTGCGGTGATCTCAGCACGGAGACTCGATGCAATGCTCGGTTCGTCGCCAGTGAAAAGTACTGAGACTGA